CTCAGATTAGGAATGGTTACAACATATATAGTTCTAATTTCAGATAAAAGGTATAGATAATACCTTAACGTTAATAAATAATCAATTGATTTATCTTAATTGGTGATTCGCCAGTCAGCCAGTGAGAGGTCATAGTGTAATATAACGTGGTTTACTTATAGAAATTAGGGTTTTGCGAATGTGAGCTGCATCATTCTAAAACTTTATTTTCGTACTAAGTTAACCACCTTTGTGCTTCTAATTGAAGTTGTAGAGCTCTTTGAGAGGAATCTAATGGTGGTTGAATCGTCAAAATCAGCCTTGTGGATCACGAGATATCTTCAAAAACATTTCGCCGACTATGTAAAATTCTCTCTTTCAACAATAGTATTGCCAAGAGAATTTTACATAGTCGGCGAAACGTTGTTCGAAGATATCTCGTGATCCACAAGGCCTATTTTGATGATTCAACCACTATTAGATTCCTCTCAACAAGCTCTACAACTTCAATTAGAAGCCCAAAGGTAGTTAACTTAGTATAAAAAAAAGTTTTAGAATGATGCAACCCATATTCGCAAAACCCTAATTTCTATAAGTAAACCGCATCACATTACACTATGACCTCTCACTGGCTGACTGGCGAATCACCAATTAAAGAATTTTTCGGTGATAGTTTTTCTGGTAAGATAATTTTATAAATAACATCTTGTTAAATTGATTGCACTAAGAGAAATCTTCCTACAAATTATCAGCATATTGCGATTAAAATTTATTAATTCAAGTCATATCGCATGATTTGAATTATTGCCCAAAGTTTAACATCTCGAAGTTATTCTTGTAACTTAGCATAAGTAATCCAATTAACAGATATTATTATAATTAATCAAAATGTGCAATCATGTACTAAAGCAGTTTATCTGGATCATATTACACAGAATATGATCTTAATATATCTGTTTTTCTCTGTGTTGGTATATCAAGTAATATAGTAATTTGGTTCATATTTTTGACATCTTCTAGAACTTTTTTGTATAAAGTGAACTCACGATTGGTTTTTTTATGAATGTGAATAATATGTAATTTGAACGCTACTTGGACGAATATTCTTAATGCATCTTGTGTCTTATCTGCAAATTCTGATTCTCTAGTATTTAAGAGATACTTTTGCTGAATTTTTGTCAAAACATCATGATCAATATATGCGTTTAATGTACTTTCATCTAGATAATTTGTATCTTCATTGCTGTAACAAATAAACATTAATATACAGCCAAATAAGTGGTATGATATATTATAACCGATTGGTAGATTGATCTTTATTTAAGATAAGCTAAGTTTATAAAATAGATTCCTATTTAATATTTTAATTTATAGGAAGAACGGTGTGGTGACTTAGTGAAGTGGTTAAGTTGTCGTATCTCCAAGTGGTATGTTAAATAGGTAGGGGGTTCGAAACCCACAGTGATGATTTTTGAATATTTTATCTGTATAACAGCTACTGTCTTTTGATGATCGGTTGGAACAAGATTTCTGTGATCTTGGTAGCACCAACAAGATTGGGAGATCATAGGGCTTTGTGTGATGTTTGAGTTACATGAAAAGTTTTAAATCATTGTAAACCCAAGAAACCAGAAAAATAGATGCCTACTTGGCAAGCCCCGAGTAGAGAGGTAGCACAAATTTTCAATAGTATAATCTAAAGGATTATTACTGAAAGAACCAGCAAAAACTGAATGTGGCCGAAGTGTTAGACAAGGCACTCCACTAACCAGGCTGCTGGAAGAGTAATCGGAGGAAAAGGACCCAACTGTGAGAACCAGGAGCAGGTCACAGCCCTTCCGAACCATCTGAATTGGTAGTTTGGAATAGTTGGGAATACCGGTAATAGTTTGTAAAGTATGTACTGGGTTTGAGTAAACTCTACAGGGGCAGAAGTAGGTTTGGGTAGCAGAGTTCAGCCAAACTGGGGTTAAATCTAGTTACGAAAAGCTGGGAGAAAAACCGTAGGCATTGACCTCGACCTGACACTATCAACACTCTCAGAATAAACAAACTAAGCCACAAGTGATGGGTCACGGCCCTGCGTACCAAAACTGAAGT